GCGGTCAAATTGTTCGAAAGACGAATTGTCTTCAAGTCTCTGAACTGGTCTAACGAAGGAAACCAGTCTCAGATATACTTCGAGAAGATAACGATCCCAAGCACCGAAGTTTACACGCAGTGGAAAGGGAAAATCGGTATTAGCGTGTTTGATTGGCCATCTCGGTGCCCCGATGCCAATCCACTGAAAATGTTTGGTCAATCACGAAGCAGAGACTGCGAGAGACAACGGGAAGCCTAAATCGTGGAATTCGAGGCTAACATGGATGTTTTTATCTGTCTCGTACGCTGAAAAGTTGATTGTCTGCGTGTCCAAGTATTTTCCAAGTGTAGTGTGCGAAATTTTCTACAAAAAGAATATTTCTTTCCAGAGAAATGGCATCTACGTTCTCATTAAACAGGCTGCTATTATGAAACACGTTGCTTGTTTGATCATTGTTGAGTCGCGTTCCGCGTTGAGCGGTGGGTAACCACTCACTCCAGTTTGTCCCAGTAATTGATTCACGCTATCTGTGTTGTACAACTTGACGTTGCAACAGCTGCGTTGAAAGGGGGTTAAGAAACCCATGTAGTTTAGCTGAGAGTTAGTTGAGAATCCGAAGAGACGTTTTTACCGAAGAGTGAGTAGTGAGTGTTTTTTCTTTTCCTAGTTGACCGACGTTGAGCTGTTCGCAGTGCCTGAGGATGTGTTTTTCCTTTCACCTGCCCATAAAAGAATATAAAGCTTATACTGTAACCCTGTAAATTGAAGCTGATTAGTTGTTTTGAAGTTTGTTCTAGCTGGTTATTTGTTGTTTGGAAATTGCAGCGAAAGTTTTTCATCACTGCTGTTTTATAGGAAATTCGGAGGTTGGCTCCGTTCGTTCTCGCAGAGTTTTTCGAAAACTACCAGAAAGCAAGAACATGGATAAACACACTGATCGGAGAAAATTTTTCTTACGAAGGGATCTCTCTTACGAATCGACAGAAATCGAGCCACTGTGCCAAGTCTTTCAAAGCTCAGAAATAAAGTGTTTGTGAAGCCAATGAATTGGCAATGACGCGGCGAGTTGATGTCGTCGTTTGCGACGACTTTTGTCTATCAGTCTCGATAAAGGAGAGTCGAGCCTTTGAGGTGTAAAGCCCGTATGAAAAATGGATATTCCCACGGGAGATGGAGAGGTAATGGGAAATTAAGACGCGGGAAGCGCTTAACGATCAAAGGGAATTAGAGGAATAAACCGGCGTTGCGAAAAGGAGAGGAATACGTACGTATTCTTCGAGCAAGCGGACCTCGAAGCGAAATTATCTCGAGGAAATAACGAGAGCGGAGTGTGCAGCGCTGCAAGTTACATTACGTTATTGCGAAATAATAATGGCGGAGAAACTGTTACGAGAGCTCGTTACTTTTCTCGTCCTTTTTTTTTCTTTCTCTCTCGATCGTTCGGAACTTCTCCGGGAGAGATCGGTAAATTCGTATCGAAATCGCGCGGAAAGAACTTCACTGACACCCGTGAACGTTCCTCGGCTCGTTCTCACCGTCGTGCTTTACATTATAAAATTCCTCGCCCGAGGGCTCGAGTGAAATTTTAATGTAACCTATGCTTGCCTTTAACAAAGTATACGACAGCATGTAAGAAGTATATAAGATGGAGGCGATATCGCATTTTTTATAATCTATATTATTATTGTTATATGACCTACATCACATGATCCTTGTTATACAGGGTGTCCCGTGACTAATGGCACGATCTAGAGTAGAAGGTAATTGCTTGTGAAGAAATTGAGGAAGAGCAAAATTCTTTCACTAAAAAGCTCACCGTTTAAATCGAGGAAATTTGCCGAGCATACTTGAATTTAATTAATTCTAGACATGACTCTGAGGGAGAATAATTAATATTTATAATTAGGAGGTTAATTATTCTATGACGTATGGAAATAAGTGAAAAATAAAATTTTTCTGCAAGATGCTTCGTTTTCAGATGACATCGAGTTTGAAAATCGACGTGTGCCAAGGCAATTTTCAACGAAACATATTCGACAACATTTAACGAACAAATTTTGCTCTACGCTCATTTCATTTATTCCTGCGCAGGAATTGACTAAATTCAAATTCGATTTTCTCGGAAATAAAGGCTTTTATGAAACAATTCTATTATTTTCTTTCAACTCGTTTTTTTTCACGTAGAATTATCTCTTATTCGAGACATATATATATATATGTGTGTGTGTGTGTGTGTATCTAAATTGACAATGTTAAACTGTAATTATTCACTTCGACGCAGAAGAGTTTTTCTTGAGATCTATGCTCTTTTTTCGACATTAATTAGCTCGTCGACATTAATTACATGTGTAATTACGTATAATGTAATGGGGAAATTCGATATTTGGAAAAAAGGCATCCAAAATCACTTTTAAAAGCTTCTACTATATTTTGTTAAAAGTAAAATAATCGTTTTTTCTTCTTTTCAATGTCAGTTAATCTCGCATTAAAAAAGTTACACAATGTAAATTTCGTTTTTTTTTTTTTGGTTTTACTTGAAAATTGGAAACAGCTTGTTTATTAACAAATAAAAGTTTCGAATTTGGAGCACGATCTCGATAACTAAGCTCTTCTTTGAAATAATTCATCAATTACAAAATTGCGAACAAATCAAGTTATTGTTATAGATAAACTGTTATTATAGATTATTATACGAATTATGATTTTCGTGATAATATTTGGAGGAAGATGAAACAAACTTGCTGCTTAACATTTACTTTTTCAATGAAATGAAATATCGAAATCATGATTATTACAGATTAATTATGTTATTATGGATTATCACAGATGTATTGTTGTTATAGATAGAATAAAATGTTACGAACTTTTATTATTAATTTTCGTCACATTTAGAAGAAGATAAAACAGATTTCTACTTGACATTCCTCGAGCTTTACGAAATCACGTACGAGAAAGTCCGAAAAGTTGAAAAATTGATTGTTACAGATTATAAATTACTTGTGCTATTGTAGATAATAGGTTATCATAGATGCGTTATTATTATAGATGGAATAGAATGTTGCGAATGTTTTTATTATTAATTCTCGCCATGGCATGACTCGAAAAACAAAACAAACCTCTACTTGACATGTTCATTGTTTGGATGGTGAGAAAAAAAATTCTTCTCGAAATCATGGTTAATTGGCCCCAGTCACGATTGCACACTTCCGGGGGGAGGGCAGACCGATATTGGCCCCGTCGATAAAACAGCAAGCTGGTTTACCGAAGTAATATCGCTCGGTTCGACCAAGGAAACACCACCAGAAAACGTCAGAATTCCGAGATGAATTTTCCCCGGGTCGGGCAAATGGAAAACCGGCGGGGAAAGCCACTAACACGACCAAGGGAACATGCATAAAACAGCGCGTCGTCGTCGTGGTCGTCGTTACAGCCACTGCAGTAAAACGTGCAATTTAAACGGTATTAGAGAGTGAGAGCGCGTCCGCGATTCACCGCCGCGAGTTTTTCAATTGCTTCGGCGCGTCTCGGATAGCTATCTCGGGGCACGAAGAAGCATCAGCGCGACGAGAATGTATAAATGAAATCAGCCCGACAACTCGAACCGTTCTTTCTCCCTCGGAGATAATTAAGCGGTGGTCGTTGCAGCTGGTTGGAGAACGCTGGAATTTCCAGGTAGTCGAGTCGTAAGGTAGTGATTTCGCTACGACTCGCATTATTTCCAGCTGTGTTATTTACCGAGGGTATTCAGAGTTGTCCACCGCGCGACATTAGCGCGGCAAGCAGCTGAACCCACTCGGGGGGCCATTCGGGGCCAACTGAATGCTGCCGATCGATAATTTTGACGAATGACACCGTATTACCGTTGTTTTGCCATCAAATTTGTCATCTCGGAGTTGTGTCCCCGATATATAAATATACATTTTCCCGGGGAAAATACTGCCCGATATCGGGTCTCCACCGGAATTGTCGTTGCAACGGAACTGACGTAGTCCATCGATCTGCTCGATGGAACGTTCAGCCGCGGCCCAGCAAAAACTGGGACAAGAGCGAAAGAGAAGAGAACACGGGGGGGTTCGTCGAGTTGGGTTAGACGTTCGTTTAATTCAAAAGAAGAAGAAGAAGAAGAAGAAGAAAAAAAGAAGAAGAAGAGAAGAAGCCAGCGAGAGAGCGAGGAAGACACGACAGAGGACAAAGAAAACTATCGAGGGAAGACAAATATTTGGCGAAAGTGGCAGGCTTCTCGATTGCACGGAGGCAATATCCCCGCGAGTTTTTTCCCCCCCCCCCCCCCCCCCC